TCTTATGGTAACATTATGATGTCAAGAGCATATGATAAATACTTAGATAATAACCAATTAAATGTATTTGCTTTGTTATTATCTAAAAAGAGTAAGCTTATAACTAATATGTTTCAACATTTATTATACTTCTCTCTAATGCACAGGGTTAGTATTAACATAGTATATAATCTCTATATAATATTATTTTCTCAGACATTAACATTATCCTTGTTAATTTCTTGTAGTTATATAAGGAATATAATTAGTCTGCCTCGTTATACATCCAACATATCAATTAGGGGTTCAGTGAAAGAAAGTAATCTTCTAATTCAAAGTGTTCATGGGCTTTCAAGCGAGACGAATAATGTTGATTGCAGATTGCTTATCTGCATATATGGAAGAAGTTTTTCTTCAAAGAAAAGTAGATTGGGCAGAATATAAAAATTGACAGATGAAATGCCAAAATTTAGGGCCAAATTTGCATATGCTTTCTTACTTTCAACAAAGAAGTAAATTATAAATTTTGTATATATTGGTAATTATTTGAATATTTCTGTACATTTTGTATTTTTAATTATGTTGAATCAATTATTCATTTTATCTTGTATTCACTGATTAATTTTTTTAATTATGCTGAATCTACTTGCAAATGTGTAGTGAAAGCCCTCGAAAATCATAACGCAAGCGCAATTAAAGCTTATAACATTACATTTTAGTTATATTAACATGATATGAACTAGAGTGCTTTCACTGAGCTTTGTTTGTACTTTAGTGAAAGTGTAGTAAAAGATCAGTTAAAGTGCATCGAAAGCTCTGTGAAAGTCCAGCAAAACATAGCAACGTAGTGAATGTCATTGTTTATAAAAATTTCCACAATTTTTTAAATAATTTTGAAAATGGTTATAATTTAAGAAAATTTCAATCTAAAATTAAGTCATATTGAATACTTATAGATAAAGCACAACAAAAGCAGTTAATTCATTTTCTTAAAATTTTCTTTATATTTAAAATAATTTTGAAAACAATTATAATTTCAAAAAATTTTCATTTTCTTATAAATTAAATCATTTTTAGAACTTACTAATCCCAATTAAAGCCCATTTAAGTAATTTTCTATAAAGTTTTCCTTAGTATTTTAAATAATTTTGAAAACACATAATTTTTGGAAATTTTTATATAAAATTAAATCATTTTGAACACTTAAAATAAAAGCACAGTAAAAGCACAATAAACACATTTAAATGCCATTTCTATAAAAATTTCTTTAGTTTTTAAAATAATTTTGAAAACATTTATAAAATCAGAAAGTTTTCATATAAAATTAAATCATATTGAACACTTACAAATAAAGTGTTGCTAAAACATGGTGAAAACATAGCGAAAGTGAAGCAAAAGCGCAGTGAAAGCATGATAAAAATGAAGTGAAAGAACTTTTAAGAAAAAATTTCTTAAAAATGACAAATACGTTTCGTTAAGCTTTTGTTGCACTTTTAGAAATTATAAGAATTTTCAAATTAAATTATGAAAAATACTAAGGAAAATGTTATAGAAAATTATTATATGATATATTAAATACGATTTCACTAAAGTGCAGCCAAAGCGCTTTAGTTTATATCACTACACTTTACATTCGCTTTTCTCTGCTTTATTATCGTTTAAACTTTCTACCATGATCTGAAGTAATATATATTGTAAAAATATTTCTAGCTTGAACTGAAGTAATAAATAGCGTAAAATTATTAATAGCATGCACTTATTTAAAAATATAATTTTATTTTAGTGTATTTAATACAAATATTGAGTTTAATACAAAGTTATTTTTAATTTAGCAAATAATCATTAGTCATTACAATTAAAATTTATTTCAATTGCATTTCTAAAGAAATAACATCTATCATCATTCTTATATACTCAAGCCCGGGCTGTATGGTTACTTCCCTAGTTATGAATTTCTTACTGAAGCATTCAGACATTCTTGAGAAATTCATATGTGCTGAAGGATTATCCTTTTATATTAATTTTTTGCTCTTGACAAATTTCTCTGTTGAAAAAATTAGGCTTAACAAAACATATATTGTCTCATAATATACAATGATAAAATCTATGAGGATGTTAAATCTTGCTCTTATACTTATTCTTCTTTTCCTAGTGACCCTTTAATATGCAAAAAAGATGCATTTAGGCCAACGCTTTAATGGATCTTTTAAATTTGTACATCCACCTTGTTTATTTCTAACAAACTTATGATTTTTTATCTTACCATCATGAATCAAGTTTATTTTTTCAGTCATGTCCTATATTACAGTCAACATGTACTGCTCAGCATCCTCATTCCCTTAAGCTCGTTTGCTAATTTGATATGCAAATTTGATGAGATGATTTTTAAATATGAATCCACTACTACCTTCAAAATTATTCTTTCTTGTACATATGCCCATGCGACTTGAATATATATATTTTTGAGCTCTTACTGACCATCATAACATTAGATACTTCTCAAAGATTTTTATAATAACGAGTTACCTCAAAACTCGTATGCAATGAGGACACAACAAACCCATTGTCTCAAACTTCTTACATGGGCATTGAATGCTACCTTACGTTGCATCAAAATTAAAAACCCAAGGGATAGAATGGTCCTTAAACTCTGTGTACTTGACTAAAATTTTTGAAAAATCACTTGAGACAAAGTCTATACTCATTTTGCTCACACCATGTAAAAATTCTTTCTAAAAAATGAATATAATTTTTTTTAAATAAAATCGAGCAACTTGTTTTAATATTGAGCTATTTTTATTACAGGTACTATTTCAAACTGGTTGCATTTGAATTTTTCATCATATTTATTCTGATGTTGTCATCATCACCTTCTCTAAACCTAGAAAATATTCAGTTATATAAATTGTTTGCTTCAAAATTCCATGATATACATTATTAATAAACTTGCTATGCTGCGTGGATAGAATGCCAAGCTAAAACAGTTTTTATTAAATGTTGTTGACCACTTATTCTTTATCCTATAAAGATCATCTAACCATTCACGATTATGGAGATTCTCTTCCATTATCATTTTAGCCTATATTTTTGCAAACTCCTCATTGTCACACTTACTCAAACACTTATAGAATAGTCCTCTGACTTTATTGTTGCTACTAAAATACCCAATTTTTTATGTAACCTTTTTAAAGATGTGCCATTGACATATTCCATGACGAGTGTGAGGTAAAATAACTTTTATGGCCCTAGCCATTATCTAGTCCTGATCAGTAAATATTGTCATTGGATGTTTAACAACCATTATATAAATATTCTAAATAGTCATGTAAATGATTCAATTGTTTCCTCTGACAAAAAGACCACCCCTAGAAAACTATTATGTCAAGGATTATTAACACTGACAAATGATGCACAAATTAAATTATATTTATTTAGCCTATAGCTAGTATAAAAAATTATCACATCTTTAAAACAGTCATAATCTATCATACTCATTCATCAATTAAAAAAATCAACAATCTATCAAATTCATCAATTTAGATGTCCAATATGAACATGTTGTCATCAACTTGATGATCTTTAAATAATTGAATCAAATAATTAGTGCCCCCAAATTCAATCTTTGCACTTTTTTATTTCTGAAAAAAGTTGTTTGCATTTCACTTAGAGAATCTAACACTCAACACCTCGAAATTTCTGTGCAAGGTAGGAGAATGCGTCAACAATTCTTATCTTGACTTATGTCATGATTTCAAAACTAAAGCTTTCTCATCATCAATATTCCTACATGATCTTATGGATGTCAGTCTTCTGGCCTAGCCAATTCATGATTGTGTGATTCAATAAAATTTCCACATTCTAGTTTCCAGCTTCATTAACTACAAAACTAACCAAAGATGGACAATCCGTTCTGGTTTTTTTTGTTTTCGATATTTCGTTTGGAAATTTATATCAAATCTCTTCTTGAAACTAGTTTTTGAACAGACAAAGTTATTGAATTTTATCTTTCTAAAATTTTGCTAGTAATTGTGATGATCCTTGTGAATATTAAAACAATATTATGGGCATAACGAAAGTAAACATCATATACTTATTTTTTATCTTTATACACAACCTGTAATATGAAGTAGTGCCTAGTGAAAGAACAATAAAAGTTGAGTGAAGGTGAAGCAAAGGCGCAATAAATGGGTAAAAAATGCGGCAAAAGCCTAGAGAAAACACAACAAAAGCACAGTAGCAAATACGTAGCAAAAAGCGTTGTAGAAAGTAGTTGATCTATAGTTCTATATTTTCACTACGCTTTTGGTGCGCTTTTCGACCCGCAAAGCGCAGTGATGGGGCAGTGAAAGATTGTTTAAATCGAAGCGAAATCACAGTGAAATATTATCAAAAGTGCAGTAAAAGCACAACCTAAGTGCAGTGAAAGCACCGTAAAAGAGCAGCAAGAGCACACTCACAATCCACAGTGAAAGCGCAGTAGCAAATGCGTAATATTTTTTTAATTTTTTTGCGCACTTGTATGCATTTGTATTGAACATTGATATGCTTTTTTTACGCAGCTTTGTTTTAGAATTTTGAAAAATTATAAAACTTTGGAAACTCTTAAAACAATTTGGGATGAGGTAGAAATTTACTGATATGCTGAAACCCTCAGCAGTTCCAAACCTTCTGATTCCTGAACATTTTCAGACCTCCTCTCTTTTTGCGTGTCATGTGAGCATTCCATCTCCGCGAATATAGCAAATTTCTTCCTCATTTTTTCTTTCTAAGCAGTATCAGAAGTTCTAAATATTTGAATTTGAAAGATTTCGCTGATTTTTTTATAAAATGGAGCGCCATTCCTAAATCCCTAAAAAAATATAAAACTATGAGTCAGATCAGATTGGTTGGATTGAAAGACATAAATATAACAAAAAAAATCCAATAAAAATTCACTTATCCTCTGCATATATTAAAATTTAATTGGAGTCGCGACCAAATTATTTCTCAGGCCCCTAAAAATACCCATGGTAAACAATTTTTTTTCCCTCTTTCGAGAAAATTTTATTAGCAAAGATAATAGATCGAAGTTATCGTGCGGAGCGCGGCCGGTCTGTCCGACCTTCCTTCCGATCTGGTTTTGCGCTAGAATTAGCGATGCGGGGCGTTCCCGCCGCCCTCTCCTCAGCCGGTGGGATTAGCCTCTCTGTCTCCGGGCTGACAAAACGATGCTCCAAGACGCTGTCGTTCTCCCGCCACCACATCCCATCGCCGACTTGTTTCTCCACTAACTCTTCCCCAGGCGATTCCTCAGCTTCCAAGCCCTGGCTCCTGGTTGGCCTCGGAAATCCGGGAAAAAGTTACCAGGGGACACGACATAACGTGCGTTAATTTTTATTTTTTTTTTTCAAGAATTTTACTTTGAATCTTTCTGGCTTTTAGCTGTGGTGCTTTATTGTATCTGGGTTCTGGTTTAAAAGTCGAACATGAGGTGGACATCTAGACGTTTCTTATTTTCCATTATTCTTTTTGTTGTTCCTCAATCTTACATTTTATTGCTACTGATGCATTGATCTGCTTTCTTTAGCCTTTTTTTGTTTGATGTCATTGCAGAGTAGGGATGAAGACACATTTACGGTTCCCTGAAAATTTATCACTGCTTTGGTATAATTTTATTGTGGAATTCTCATTTGGATTGTCTCACAAAAACATTTTTTTGTGCTCAAAATTAAGGATTTGTTGGACTTTTGAAAGCTCTCAAGTCGTGAGTTTAACATGGTGTGGGAGAGGATTGTATCAAGATATTGGCAACAATATCCATGACTCTTACGAACTGGACTAGATGTCACCCACAAAGAATACTAATGTTGAACTTCATAGACACTTAAGGTTTTGTTTTCTTTGATTGAGCAGGAGGAAAATGCTTTCTAAATATATATTGATATAGTTTAGCTAGTCTTGGAGCATGAAGCTTGGTAGAGCTGTTCTAGTGGGTTTAGAGTGGTCATTAGTCATACAAGTCATCTTCATCATTAGCTTAATTTCGATTATTTGTTGTTGGCTTTATAAATTATCTTTTTTGCAAATCATTTTGAATAACTTATATTTCCTTAGATTAGCCTTTTTTTTCTTCCGAACATATTCCACAAAATTTTCCATTGTTTAACAAGTGTATTTTTTAGCTATTTGTTATACATGTTCTAACCACTCATTTTTATTTTGACTTCCGTATCTTTAATATATTCCAATTAAATCATCTTTCTAATGTAATCATTATTTTTTTTATCATTTCTACTTTTGCCACATATTTATTTTAACATTCTGATTTTTGGCATACTCAACTTATGATGTGGAACATCATTAGCTAAATAAATCCTTAGGAATAGTTTATCCTTTATTAGCTTCGGTTTATGCTTTATAGAGTCTTCTATTATGTCTATATATACAAGATATTGTAAGGAAGGAGGGGATATTGATTAATATTATGAGATTTTGAAGCTTAGTGCTTGTGTTTGTTCCCTGGATTGGGATTTCCTTCTTGCATCCTCTTCTTCCAACGATTATCCCCCTACATCAACTTAACTATTGATAAATTTTTACTAGCAACATTTGAATCCATATAACATATTTGCTCTAATTGTAGTTTTATAAAGTTTTTTGACCTCCATGATATTCTATCGTTGTAGAAAACTTTTAATGTGCTTCTCCATTTTAACCATTAATCTTGAATTCTACAAGTTATCACACTGGATCCCTTATCTCCTAATAATATTTTTTGATAATTACTAATATCATTCCTACTAAAATTATTTTTCATATCTCATTCATTATTCAACTAATTCTAATTCCTTTATTTTATAAATATTTTTTGCATTTTTTAGCTTTGTAGTCATTTTAATAGCATCTTACCATTTAAAATTATGTCACATGCGAAAAGCATATGCTAAACACTTCATTTTAAAATTTAAATATTCATTATATACATCTCATCTCCATTTTAAAGGAAATCCTTGATGTAATCGTAGTATGATAGAGGATTGTTTAGCCACTCTACAATTATTTTTAATCCTAGTTAGTGTCCCATCATTTATATTTTTAATAACTTCAACATATCTTTGTTACACATTTCTTTTATAATGCACATAAAATCATTTATTGTGATACTTGATCCCATTCCTTATCTAGATAAATCATCTGGAAATCCATCTTTTACTCTATGTATTTCTCTTTAGTTTTCTTAATACACAAATTGCTTTCATAGTGGATCTTTCATCTTCCTGGTTTCGTGTAAAACTAAACCCAATCGATTTTTCAGAACTGATTCAATATTTCTAAGTTGATGTTACAGCAATATTTTCCATAATTTTATTCTATGTCGTAAAGTAGATTCTTCTATAATTAATAAAATATTGGATATCTACTCTATTTTTAAATATTAGTATCAAAATGCTGCTTCTCCAATTATTTGGTATACTTAGAATATTCTAATTTATGTTGAAAAGATTTGTTAACTAAACCAATGCATTCTCCTCCATTGCTCTCTAAATAAAAATAGGTATCTCATCTGGATTTATAGGTTTGATTTTATGTATCGTCTTTATTAGAGTAACTCCCCTTGAATTTATATCAATTTATAATATATTTTATTGGATTTCTCACATGCTTCTACAAAGTAGCTTATTTTTTAAAAGCCCCATTTAATAATTTCTCAAAGTAGCATCTTCATATTTTCTTCTTTATCTTAGATTTCATTATGTTTGCTTTTTATTCTTCTCAGTTGATTAAAGGCTTAAGATCTCTTATCTATTGCCTTAGCTATTATTATATATGTTTATTTTTCCTTTCTTTTTAATTCTATTGCATAAATTGTAAAAAAGAAATATATCCTTTGTGTTGCTTACAATTCTTTTTGCACTCTAGTTTTTCTTACAATCATTAGAAGTCTCAAAATCATTTAAACTTTTGTCAATCTTTAGAATTTTATATATAAGCCTTGATAAACTTTTGTGCCTCCTCAATTTACCAACAATTCTCATCACTTATTTACGCCATATTTTAAACTCTCATAATATTTTTACGATTTTTTTTTAATGGAATCAACCATCGCATCCCTTCTTAGGTTTGGTTCTATTAAATAATTTTGATTTGTCTTTTAGCAGCCTATCTCGAAAGATAAACAAAAATTTCACCTTTAAAAGTCCTTTACTGTATCCTAAGGCAATTACATAATTTGATCATTTTCTTCATATTCTTAAGGCATACATTCATAACTAGCATTTTATGATGTGAGGTCAAATTTTCTTCTTGAATCATCTTACAATCTTTGCAAAAATAATTTCTTTTCCACTCAAAAAAAAAAAAGAATTATATATCTGAACATTATTATCATTTCCTTAATTATTGTTCATTATTCCAAGATCATTGGCTACTTTGAAATAAAGTATAGTTTTTTCTATTGTATATATCCTATTTTGTATCCACTATGAATCCCTCATAGTCCATCACACTAGAACTTATATAGTTATATGGAGTCACCCACAATATATATCTTTTCTTTTGCACTTTATTTATCTATTCCCAAATTGCTTTTTAAAACTATCTTTTGATCTATCTTCAATATCATAATAATTAACCAGATTTTTAAATGTTATCACAAGGTTTATCTAAATAGAAACCATCCTATCATTGGCACTAATCACACTAATAAGTTTATCTCTAAACTCTTTACCTACTATTTTTCTTGCTTTATTTATGATGTTAATCTTTCCAAGATGCAATAGCTTATATCATTCTCAATGTTCTTGTATGTTTCCCATTACTTTTTGTTTATTGCAAATAGGTAATATTTATTCTTCTGTTAATCATTTTTCTTATCTGTTCATTCAAAGTCCCTAAATTCCATGTAGCAAATATAATTTTAGTATTTTATCCAGTTTCCATTACTTTTTGCTATAATTAAGTGAACTTGTGGTGCACATGACTTACGGGTTGCCTTTTAGCTAACCCTTGCATACTTTCTGGCTTTCACCACAATCGGCTCTAGTTGCGGCACATCGCCTGTGGGTGACATCTTAGCTGACTTTTGCATAGTTTCATTATAATTAGTTAAGTTGTATCGTGTCACTTATAGTTAGTATCTTAAAAAATCGTTGGCTACTTCTCACAATTAGGCTAGGTCGTGTTGTGTTACTCTAGAGAATGCCCTAACATTGTAAACAATTCAAATTTGACTTCATTTCTTTAGTTTGTTACAAGTTTTATGGTTGGATGTTAACTTAACATAAACTCTCAACATTTCATATATGAGTTTGGAATTGATAATGGCAATTCAACCTAAACACGACATGCTAAGATAAAAATACTTGCATACTTTCATTAGTTTCGTACATACATACTAAATTACCCTAGTGTTCTTGAAGGAAAATTGAGATTTTTCCCAACATACAAATCTAGATGACTAGATTTTGCTCTTATATTTATGGTTTCATTTAATTATGTGGGTTTGAGATCCCAGTAGGTACAATCCTCATAATTTATTATCTCTCAAAATTTAAAAAACACTCGTAATTAAGGAGGGTGCTCTATTTTTTTATTTTTCATTTTATCAATCACTTCATTATGTTAATGTTGTATACACACGTGTGTGCATGTGAATTTTCTGTGCTTTTATGTTCGGTTAAGTTTACTGACAAAATTTCAATCATGCATGCAAACTAATCACTAAATATTTTAGAAAAAGTAGCAGAGATAGAAACCACCAATTGGATGATTTAGGCCTCACACCAGTGGTGCAGAGAGAATCTTTCTTCAAAAGTTGTTAGAAGTTGCATAGTGCTTGAAGAATTCACGTCCAACAACATATAAAAATTTGAAAGAAAATCTTAATTTCATTAAACTATAAACTGAATTTTATATACTTAGACACCTATTTATAATAAAAAAATATAAAAATAGGAACTTCTTAACATTCTCTAAAATTCATTTGAATACTGCGAGGTTTAATTAAAAATTCCAGCTAGAACAAGTTTCGAACTTTAGTTTTGACAAAACAAGAAAATTTTACTTTAAAAATCTCCTTCAAGCAATTCCAATAATTGTAGCTACAATAACATGCCAGGAAAGGAAGAAAACCATCTACCATAGTAGCTAAAAAATTGCCTAAGAAGGAAACTATAATTAATTGAACTCGTCTACAATTACGGGGTGTTAACTTGTTTAATAAATAGGTTGTATTTGGGTTGGGTTTTTCGAACCGTTTATTAAATAGGTCGGATATGGGTTAACCTGTGAACCCATTTGGGCCCAAAAATGAACTGTTTAATATATTTTTCCTTTTTTTTTACTTGTGATTTTAATATTCTTTTTTTTAATCAAATTTCCTA